AGATAGGAGGGAAATTCATGACACTAACTACTGTGGGTAGACACATAGGTATGTACTGCATGATCTGGAAATCCAACAAAACCGAGTTGGTATCCCATTGCTTTTAGCCACGAACCTCGGCAGGTGCGAGGGCTTGCTTATCTTCCTTCTCTAAAAACTCTACTTATTCCCGTCGTACAAATACAAAAAGTATAAGTAATTATCAACCTATATACCTCGTTGCGAAATTGAAGCCCGTGAGATGAGCGGACTAAGGATAATCGGGTCATGGAATGGGGTGTAGTTGGTTACTGAAATATCCATCGCAGCTGTCCAATCCCTTATGCCCACTATGCGAGCCAGAGCATATACGAGAGACCAACGAGAGACCGACCACATTGTCAAATCATATTTCATTGATGGACAGGTTTCGATTGAATGCTTTATGACGTGTATTTAATTGAGACTTTCGGCCAATCTTTTGTTGTTTAGCGTATAAATCAATCTGTGGCGCCAACTCGTGTGTTATTTGGGTCAGGAAGTGACATGTTACAAAGAGCAAGGGGGCACACGGGATTGAATCCCTGACCGGGGGGGTAGGAGGGAGGGGGGTCGGTCGGGGGCCAGAAAAAAATTTTTGGAACCCCCAACATCAGAGATTTTGGAGGCCTTGGGGAAGGTTTGATGAGTTTTCTGTGATATAAAACACAGTGATTGGGTTTGATTTACACCCTACAGCAAGGATTATACACCCTGTGAGTGTTATGGCTTAGTTTTGGCCTAGGCTACATTTTAGGGAAAAGCGGCTGTAATTGTACGTTGGGCCCATGATGCTGTCGTTCCTGTACTTTTTTACCACTTAACACAGCGAGATCGAGTAAGATACCTCATTTAGGGAGGAATTGTGTTCGGAAACTCGTTCCAAGGTTCATAATTGAAGTCAAGTTCAATACTGTTGACCGTCCACTCGAAGGCATGGGAAAGTATCAGGTGAAACTACTATATATGGTCCGTGAGAAGCTTACGTAGGGGAGGGAGGGTCTTTCCTGAGGGCGGCTCAGAGAAAATCAACCCTAGGTCTTTTTTTTTCGAGGGCGTGCCCCCTTGACAAAGAGACTGATTGAGCAAGCAAAAGGGAACACCACTCATTCCATTGTTGGTCTCCGAGCGAACGAATTGACGTAAGAAGACGGTGTGAAAGGCATCTAGATGATGTTTCCCTGCTACCGGGATCAATTAATTAGAAGGTCTTAGGCGTGCACAAATTCATTTGAATGACGAGGTGAAGCTACAAGTACGGCGGGGAATTTATTCGAGGGAAGCAATAGGTTCGACATGGAAAGCTAGCTATGAAATAGTCACCTACTACTGTAAGCAGGAACATATTCCGGCGGCGCCTCTTCTACACCCTCCACCCTCTCCATTCTCTGCATCAACAATCGTACCTGTGCCTGCAGCGCCTGGTAACTCGCCCGGTCCACAGGTCTATTATCAACCCCGCGGGTCAAACTCTCGCCACCTCTGTGCACAGTCTCAGACTGTCGAGGATCGGTAGATTGCTTGCCTCCCGTAGTCTCAGTCACCTGACGGTTAGACCCTTCAACAGCCTTTCGGTTCGAGGCCGGTATGGGCGAGGATTCTTTCCGTTCACGAGGGGGATTCAACACGGGGGTTGTAGGTGTAAAAGGATCAATGACTGCTGCTGCTTTTTCAGAGTCCTGTAGTCGGTCTGCAGCAAGTATCATGAATCAGTACGAGGGGAGTCTGTATGTCTATTGCTCACCTCTTGCTTGCTTACTCCTTCGCCTACGGAAGAGGAATATGACAATGAGGAGCACCAGGAAACCACCGCCTCCGATTGCGCCACCGATGATTTTTGCTTGAGAGTTGTTGGAGCCAGAGCTATTGGAATCAGTGGCTATCGGGAGAAGCGGTGAACTGGAAAGTAAAGTTGTTAGCCTTGAAGTCCTGAGCATGAAGAAAAGTTGTTTTTTGTTCTTCACCTTGATGTTGGTGACGGCGTGATTCCTGGCACGGGGCCTACAGGGGACACAACCATAATCTGTGCGGTCGAAAAAATAGAACCTGTAGGAGCTGCTACAGTCCCCTGTCTGAGATACACAGTTCTCCTCAATGCGGCATTCAGATGCTCATAGTAGACACACGTACACTGGTATTACTGCTCCAAGCACGGTGAGAGGACTATTTCGGGTCAAGTGGCCATTCTTTAGATCCACGCGAACAGCTTTGTGAGAAAAAAAAGCACCCGCCCAGTTTTTGTGGCCGTGAATATCAGCCGCCCCTCGTCTTCAAGTGCGTCGCGAAAACGTGCTATCGCATGCCTTTCGGTGATTACCCCAGGAAGTTCCAAGACTATGGTTGCTGCTACATTGAAATCAATGGCATCACGGAACCAGGTAATCGTTCTTGGCTGGAAGGCAGTAATAGTGGCTGGTAGTTTGTCAAAATAGTAGGCCTGCATCCCACGGAAGAGATACGAAAGGACAAGGATGCTGAACAGACGAGGCCAAATGTATGAGGGAAGAGTGGGAGCAATTGGTCAATGTAAAGTGGATGTAGTACGTACCGAAGCTTCATCATTGAGAGGAAAGGAAGGGGGAAGAAAGAAAGATGGGGTAGCTGTCGAGCCTCGAGATCCCACAATAAGTATAGGATCGAGAATAAACAAGGTTTGATAATCCACGCCTGATGCTCTGACTGATGGTCTGCATCTTGCTTGTATCTTAAGAGGTTCTCATGGTTGCCTTCAAGCAGTCCGAAAGTGTCAGGTGTATCTGTCGTCGGGTTTATGAATCAACAAAGAGACTGTGTTAAAGTCGTCGATGAAATGACGTTCAAGCTGAGGAAGGCAAGAACAGGGAACGAGGGTCGCGTGATTTGGATCAAATCGTACGATCCGTTCATCGGCTAGCAAGGTACAGATGGCTGAGGTGCGGTGGATTGGCAGTTAGCGAGAAAAGCTTTGTAAGCTATGGTGTTTGGTTGGTATGGTATTTGATTGTGTTGATAAAACACTCTCACCTGTCGGGTGCGCACCGCGCCATACTCCCGTAGATCGATATCTATCTGGTGATAATCAAAATCGATGCTGGCCAACTCAACCTCCGCACTGACAAAAATGAACCTTTTCTTGATGGTAGGGATATATCAGTATTCTCCAAAGAAGTCAGCTGGTGCCTCTAACAGTCATTGGGGAGTGGCGACTGCACATCTTGATAGTCTTGTGGCATGAGTTACGGTCGAATGGGGCGTACATCACCAATAGCGAGATATGACAATCCAGACAGGCGAAGGGACAAAGGTGCTCCAGTTCTCAATCCGGGGGTCGTTGATATTCGGGGAGAATGAACAACGAATAATAAGGTGGAATAATGAGCGCCTGGTTCATGTTCTCAGGAAGGCGAGCCTATTAGTGAAAGTGACCGTGATGAGTCTTTGGACAAGGTTTAGGTAGGTGCATTGGAATGACAAAAAGCCAGCCTGAGACACTAGTTCAAGTATTAGACGAGCCGTAAAACAAGGAACGGAAAATTCACCAAGGCCGATAATCCCTTGCTAAGTTCCATTCCTCTTCTGATATTACACTTCAAGCACGTAGAGTCCCGATTAAAAGTCATCGATGGAGGAGTTGGGACTATGCAATGTGCGGATGGTTTCACTCTGCTCCAAGAGATCGTATTCGGCTGCTTTTTGGACTAGGAGGAGGATTCCAGTGGCGGATTATCGATATTTCGATATGAAGTAGCTTTGGAAAGACGAGTTGAGAGTTGTAGCGAGAGTTGCTCATTGTTCTCAGGATATAGATGGGTAAGGGGATGAGAGGCGGAACGCATGGTGAGGGCAACGACAAAGCGACTGAGCGATGTGAGAACAAGCTCAACGATGTCATCGGTCCCGGTCGGGGCTCGGTTCCTTACAAGGTATAGAAACCTGCTCGTTATCCCGGAGATTATATAATGCTCCGCTTTTGCCTTCGACCTGGATCAACACGAGCAGTACCGCGATTATCGCTCCTTCGCTATTCTCCACCATCATCTCATAGATTTAGGACCTACGCTACTCGTCCAAAAAATATGGGCAAAAATAAAAACTCCATTACCGAAGACAACTCTTCCTCCCCGCCCACCCAACGCAAAAGAATACACGGACGATATCGAACGTGAAATGTACGTCGTCGTCTGGTCGTGCCAGTCGCCCCTACTAACCCCACACCACAGACTAGAAGCAATGAGCCACCCACGCTGTGTCGGCTGGGGAGAAATGGGACTCGACTACCACTACGACAACTCTCCCCGAGAAATACAACGAGACGTCTTCGCTCATCAACTCCGTCACGCAGTCAGACTCAGAAAGCCATTGACGATACACACGAGAGAAGCAGACAACGATACCGAGAGAATATTGAAGGAGATTGTTCCAAAGGATCATCGGGTACGCCAGTTGTGTTACTTTTCCTTGAGTCAACTTCTGAGCGTGAACGGCGTTCTACAGATCCACATCCACTGCTTCACCGACACCCCAGAATTCGCACAACAAATCTCTACATCGATATAACAGGTACCATCTTCCTCTTTCCCCCTCTTTCCCTCTTCATTTCTCCCCTAATCCTACTAACCCCCAACAGGTGTAATAACATTCACCACAAACCTCAACACCGCCCAAGTCATTCGCCAAGTGAACCCCCAACCTTCTACCCCCTCCGGCCTCCGAATCTACATGGTCCCAGCCAACATCTACGCCTCTCTGTCATCGTTATCGGGGAACCGGCTCCTGTTGAGTCATAGTGCGATGATTCCTTGGACGGCTGATTTCGTTTCGGAGGTTTTGAAAGAGGGGGAAGCGGATGGGGGGGATAGTAAGAAGGTGTTGGAGGTTGGGAGGGAGAACGCAAGGAAGGTGTATGGTGTTTAGATTTCAGGTCTTGGGTTGTTTTTGCGCTAGATGAGGGGGCGGGGGGGAGGGAGGGAGTGTTATGATTTCATGATGTCGATCCTGAGTATGACCGACTAGCTCAGTTGATTAGAGCGTCGTGCTAATATTGCATACAAGTGCAGCAGATATCAACGCGAAGGTCTTGGGTTCGATCCCCACGTTGGCCATACCATTTGGGCATGCTGTTTTTTGCTGACTGCCGACCGCACATGCGATAATGAACCTTTCCCCTCCATGCCGCATTTCTTTCATGTCTAGTCGGTCGGAGCTTGACCACTGCAAAAACCTTGATTCATACACATGTACGTCGCATGTTTGCATGTCTTTTTTGAGGGGTCCCTACCCATACACGTTGATCTGGACCGTGAATCTCAAAGACCCCTATCGTGACTTTTCCGCCCACATCTTCTGAGTTTAAGTTGAGTTACTACAAGAGCGAACTCGGCCCATGTATAGCAAACTGACGACTACTCGTGGCTGGCTGTGTAAGACCGCACTTTGGGGCTGGCTCGACGTTAGATGCGGGGAGCTTCGGAGGAGGGTCAAACTCGATTGTGAAGCCGAATCGTGACACTACATATGCCGCAACGCGACATGAAGGATTCACAGCTCATGGTATTAGTGCCCATACATAGACCAATGAAAAGGAGAACAATGTCCTTTTCGATGCTTCGAGACCCGGTCTCCTTCATCTTCGTCAGAAGGGACGTTCGAAAAATCAGACTCACTCCATTGAACACTGTACCGACCAATCGTGGTGTGAGCCGCCTGGGTTGATACGAATCGCGATGATACTGTACGAGTAAGTGTTAGTATTGAAGAAACGAACGAATGATCCCCAGAACATAGCCAGCAGCTAGACCAAGCCCCATCCAGCTGACAATAGAGGTCTACAGAACCGACTTGGAAGTTGGAGCGGGGGGCGAGGAAAATTAAATGTGGCATTAGGAACGTCTCCAGTGGTGGATCAATTTTACGGTTGTTTCTACCTTGAAAGCTCGTTGGATACAAAGGAATAATGGGCGACATGAGGATTAAACCCAAGGGCCACGAACTTTCCCCCTTGGAGTCGGAGTCGGAGGAGGGGTTCGATGATCAAATCCGGATAATTGGACTTGCGTTGAACGTTAAAGCTTCAGCGACGCGAAGAAGCATAGTCCACAGGCGCTTTTTATGCTCCGTTCGTATATTCGAAATTTAGCCGTCTCATTCAACAGCTTTGCAGACCCTCGGGCTCTCTCCAAGAATGAACATAACCTCAGTGCTTTGATGCCATGCGGGTGGTGGACCGTGTCGTGAGAGTGAAACCATGATACGGGCTGTTTTTTGACTATCCAGTGGTCGATGAAGCCCTGATTAGACTCGGGGCTGATGAACTTGAAATGTGAACAAGCCCATTCGAAACTGACAGGAACTCGTGCGGGTTGAGAGCATCGGCTCGTTACTTTCTACAAATGGATCAAATTCTATCTCGAATTAAACTCACGACTCTCCGGTGTGACTTGGCCCGGAATTGAACGGGTGCTGAAGTAGTAACAGAGATAAATAAGGGGAATCGGGTGAAGATCGGGGCCTCAGGATCTGTTGCGTTTCACTTCTGTGTGTAACCTTTAGTTCTTGGCTTCCTGACGAAAGACGACCAGTGTTTTGGTAGCATCCACAATTAAAAGGGAGATTATTTTTTCCCTTGCATCAACGGCGGGAGACTGCTTCCAAACGCCCGGGAAACCAGGTATATTGCGAGTCCTCCCTGAATGTGAGCTTTCGGACCGCGTGATGCACTAACTCAACAAAGAATCCCTTCCTTGGTTCAAACACCGTCCCAAGTAATATGTACTGGGGCTCGTGACATTGAAATCAATGGGTTTTCACATCACCCCCATACGAGTTCAATCTCGACAGGGCTTGTTCGAGGGTAATCAACCCCCGCTATCATTCTTCCCGCCTCATACATATTTGGACCGAGATTGCCAGTACGCGAGCCACCATCGACAGACCCCTCCAACGCCGTCGCTGAAGATGCCACACAGGTGAGTTCGACGCAACTGGCATTGATGGTTTGATATTTAACAACGAAGGTCCTTTGAGACACGATTCTGATGAGTTGTATATCCACACCTATGGTACTGCACTCCTCGTTCCAATTTCCCTCAGGGGCAAGGTTATAACGAAAAGGAAATAAAGAACGGCCGTTGAGTCTGATGACTATCAACAATTATAGAGACAAATTCGGGTTTGACGGGCGACTAAGCTCGGCGCAAAGAAAAGATCCAGAGAGTTGGAAGAGAAACCATCAAATACACTCAGATTCTGTATCAAAGGATGAAACAGCCGACGAGTCCTCCTGACTCTTCAGCGCTTCGGACGGTAGATAAATGCCATTCATTTCACAATATTGAATCGGCCTGGCATCACAGATGCGTTGGTTAGCCACACTATGTCCCTCCCACTCGCGAATGGTACCAAGTTTCACTCGAACGGTGCGAATTTAATACCCAAATCCCACCGCAAATTTGCACTATGAAGCAAACCATACGACGGAATCTACAGCTGCGCTCTGAGGGCGTGTAGGCACAGGATCCAACTCTACTCATGCTCAATGATCAACTTATTAATCCTAGCTTGTCCCGGGGAGAACTTTGAGAGCACCCTAACTGACGAGATGCATATCCCGGGCCCTCGAACTCAAGCCACCGAGTTGATAGTATTATTATGCTTGAAGCTTGCGCCCGGGTGGCGCTCATTTCGAGTTGGACTCCACGTTCATGGGTGTTGTGCACACGGAGACGAAATGATCGAACACTCGCTACGAGTCGTAGATCGATTTGTGCGCTCTAGGCCTGGGAACATTCAATGCGTTCGTGAGAAAGGCGTGGACAAGATACAAGTAATCATTTTTGATTGAGAAGTGTATTTCTATTCTTGTGTCCCAGATTTCCGTCTAGGTAGGTCCATTGAGATGTGAGGAAGATATGTAGTATTCCTTTTTTTTTGCAAGCCCTCGGATTGTGAAACGAGTTATAGGATGAGTAGTAAGAAAGAGGGCACCCTGGTTTAGTCTGAAGTTAAACGAAGAATGGTCACGTTAGCTAGCAAATATATACCTCCTTCAAAGTCCAAGGTAAAGAGTTTCCACAAACACATTGTATGATGTGGTGGATTGACACCGGTTCATTTAGAAAAGTTATTTCTGTCACTCTAGGAGTTCATGGTTGATATGATTGTAAGGTGTCTAGCGGTGAGTAATCAATGGTTTGAAATGGTTTGATCATATGGTAGCTCAGTTAAACGCGTCAGGAAAGATTCGAACCGTATACCCCTAAGAGAGGTCTGGTCTTCAAATGCTCAGGGTCAGTTCTAAACCACGTTCGCATTAAGAACATTGAGACGCATTGAAACATCTATGCCGCTCTTTTGCAAATTTCTGGGCTTACTATTCAACTTTCCTTGTTGGTCAGTGGACTGTTTGAGGCAATCTTCACGTAATATAAAGCCTCGGCAGTCCCCCTCCGATTAATCTCAGTGTGCGCTCAAGACCTCAATTGACGCCCGAGGCAGAGTCGGTCGCTTACCCTTCGCTGCTGAGAGTTCGGGAGAATACTCGTGTCATCAGTGGTACCAGTACAAACGAATCAACGATATTTTCCTATTACAAAGTATTGATGAGAAGGTCTTGGACGTATGTAGTTCCCTACAACAACAAAGTAAAATCACAAGCATGGCGGGGTACTCATTCAACCCACATAGCCGGTCAGACAAAGATAGCTAGCCATAGGTAATCATCTACTACTCCCATACGAAGAAATATATTCCGGTGGCGCCTCTTCTACAGACTCCATCCTCTCCACTTTCTGCATCAACAACTGTATCTGGGCCTGCATAGCCCGGTAGCTTGCCTGGTCAACTGGTAAGTTGTTGTCTACGAGAGTGGAAGTTTGACCACTTTCGTCGCCCGGCGCGTCTTGCTCGGTGTGAGACTGTCGAGCGTCAGTAGATTGCTCGCCTCTCGTAGGTTCAGTCACTCGACGGTTAGAGCCTTCAACAGCCTTTCGGCTCGAGGCCGGTATGGGCGAGGATTCTTTCCGTTCACGAGGGGGATTCAACACGGGGGTTGTAGGTGTAAAAGGATCGATGACTGCCGCTGCTTTATCAGAGTCCTGTAGTCGGTCTGCAACGAGGGTCATGAATTAGTACGAGGATGCGTGAGTCTGTGTATTTACTACTTACCTCTTATTTGCTTACTTCTTCGCCTACGCAAGAGGAATATGACAAAAAGGAAAATGAGGAACCCACTGCCTCCGATTGAGCCACCAATGATTTTCGTTCGGGAAGTGTTAGAGGCGGAGGTATTGAGTTCCGTGGCTATCTGGGCAGACGGGGGATCGGAAGATGAAGTATTGGAATCAGTGGCGGTAGAAGACGGTACACTGGAGGTAAAGTTGTTAGCCTTGAAGACCTGGGCATGAAGAAAATTTTTTTGTTGTTCTTCACCTTGACGTTGGTGGCGGCGTAGTTCCTGTCACGGGGCCTTTAGGGGACAAAACCACCATCCGTGCGGTCAAAACATCAGACCCCAACAAAAGTCCTTGCGCCACCTGTCTGAGATACACAATTCCCTTCGACACGGCATTCAAATGCTCATGACAGACACACGTACGTATCATAAACCGTTCCAAGGACGATGAGAGGACTGTTTTGGGTCAAGTGGCCACTCTTTAAATCTACGCGAACAGCTCTGTGAAATAACAAAGCACCCACCCAATTGTTGTGGCCGTGAATATTAGCCGCCCCTCAGCTTGTGTCCCGTCAAAACTTGCTGTCGCAGCCACTACGTTTGCCCCGATCGGTGCCAAGGCTATGAATCCTGCTGTAGTGCCATCGCCAGCATCGCGGAACCAGGTGATTGTTTGTGGCTGGAAGGCAGTAATAGTGGCCGGTAGGTCAAAGTGGAAGGCCTGTATCCCACGGAAGAGATATGATAGGACGAGAGTGCTAGGTAGAAGCGGCCAAATGTATGGGAGAAGATTGGGCCATTGGTCAATGGTTTGCTAGCCCTGGCATGGATGTGGTACATACTGGAGCTTCATCATTAAGAGGAAAGGAGGGGGGGGGGGAAGACGGGGTAGCTACCAAGCCTCGAGATCCCACAATAAGTACAGGATCGAGA